GCCAGTTGAACGCACCGAAATGGGGGAAGGGGTGTATGAACTTGAAGCAGGAAGGAATATTAGGTCCGCCTCCAGAGAGACCGCGTCTACACGCGAACGAAGTTGAAGTCGACAAGCAGAAAGGAAGGCGTGGGTGAGGATCAGACAGCAATGACAATCTAGGTCAGGTCAGGTCTCAGGCTGTAACGGTGATATAGATCTACACCGCTGCGTGCCACCTGCTGAACATCATCGGACTTTGCTTGACTTGCTTTGTTGCTTTCATCCGTAGGCTGGTGCTAGACCCGAGGGCGATCACTGTGGCTCTTCTTCCGAATGTACGACAACAGAATCACCCCTCTCTCCACTTGGCTCTCCGCAGGAGTACAAAGAAACGCACCTTGGACTGTCTGTCTCCTCTCATAGCAGGACGACCTAGTGCCCACAATCGCATGTGCAGCGAGACGCCGCTACCAGCAGTCGAATCTTATAATAATAACAAAGCCTGGCAACAAGCAGCTAAATACGTTCATCTTACATACCGTGTCAGCGTGGGGGAAATGCAGCTCCCAACTCCCATGCCAAAGCGCGCCTTGCGTTAGGGTTGGTGGGTACGCCCCAACGCACAAACATGACATCGACTTGCTGCGTCTCATCGGTGCATATCTCTCTATAGGCTGCCGGTCCAGTCAGTCACCCGCCGGCCTTCAATCGAAAAAAACCCCGGCAAGCCGAGCCGAACAGTGGCTCGCCTCAAGAGCAAAGGACATGCGTCGGAAACAGCTACGGCTAACACGTCAGCGACATCGCACGGCGGAACGCCTCGGTAGATAGGGCGCTCACTCGCCCCGTTCCCATCGTGGCCTTCTACAGCAGAATAGCGCGTCGTGAGCGTGAAGGGCCGTGATTGGGAGCAGCTTTTGCAGTTTCGACTTTCGCCGTGCACTGAGACAGGCTCATGAGGCTGCGAGCAGCGGCGAACGCATGTATGTCTTTGGCAGTCGACACTTCCATTGACGACGATCATCTTATGAGCTGCTTTTACAATGCTATCCATTTATGACCATCACGTCTCTGGTTCTCGTGCTTCGAAGTGCAATCACGTCATGGACGTACATGTATACATTCTGTTGCTCGCTCAAGGAGGCCCGGAGATCGGGTACATGCATATGGCACACGGAAGAGTTGCCACGCTCGCTGGCGCCATCATTTGCACTTGAGCCTCTTGCTCCCCGAGGCTATTTGAGCAGCGTCTTCTTGTCGGTGCTTGGGAAGGCTTAAGAGGCTAGGCCCTTGTCAGCAGCCATCTTACTGCTTTTTTTAAACCTTTTTTTTTAAGTCAGAACGCTGAAGTTGGGTCCGAGCTCCGAACGAGAACCGATGCCTTCGGAAAGTGCATTGTGATGAGCGGGGGAGCGGAACACCCTTTTGTTGTTAAATTTACCGAGCAAGAAGTGCACGTTCTCTATTTGGCTACTATCTTTGGACCTTTGGTTGCGTGAGATCATCACTGACCAACACATGCAATACAGTCTGATCCGCCAGCATCCCTCTGAGAGACTCGGCTGAGGCGTATGTAGGCACGCTGCAGCCGAGCGTATGGGTCCTTACTTTAGCTACCGTGTAGAGGCGCCCGAAGGGTGAATCATTGGCACTGATGCATGTTGCAACCGCGCGTTACCACCACGACCACAACCACGATCACTACGTCCTCCTCGGCCGCTCCTTCGCTCAAGCACGGCTGATGACAACGGAATCGTCACCGGGCTTGGTCCTGACACCGCCTGCTACTACACGGTGCAGCGACGACGCTGCGCAAGGCGGCCGGTAGCACATAGGCACACACCCGGTGCTGCGAGGCGTCGCGGGACTTGCCAAGAGCAGTATGCCATTCTGGTCCTTCAGCCCTTCCGCTGCCTCTGGCCACGACAGCAAGAGCTTGCTCTCGGCTGTTTCGACGGGCTACACTGCACAGCCTCGCTCTCCGACGTTCACTGCAGCTGCAGGAGCCGCAGACGGCGCACCTGGTACGCCAGCCGCAGAAGCGTCCTCCGCTTCAGCCTCTCCTCTTTCAGCTCCACCCGCATCGTTACTAGGAAAGCGTCGATCGATCTGCAATGGGAGGTATTGCTCCGGCATGGACAGTGCGGATGGGGCTTCGCCAGCGCGTGTCGCAACAGGTACCGGAGTAGGAAGCGCGGGCGGGGCGGGCGGGAGCGACGTGGTATCGAACAGTTCGTCGCAGGCGTCCTCGCCGTCCCTTTCTGCACGCCTTCATCCTGCAAGCCGCTTCAAGACGATGCACCCCTCGTCGGCCTCGCCTGCATTAGCCACTGCCAGGCCTTCTTCCTGCCCCGATACAGCTCTGGGCTCGGCAACCACTCAGCAAGACGTTGTGGTCGAAGCAGCAACGTTCATGTCCGATCTACCCTCTTCCCTGCGCACTTCAACATCGTCTAGCTTAAATTTGGCGCCCTCATCTAACCCGATCGCTTCGGCTTCTGCTGCGGCGGCGAGTCAAACTCTCAAAGCAGGGCGAAGCAGTGGCGGTGGCAGTAGTAGCGGAAGCGGCAGTGCAAGCATGAGCCGCAGCACGAGCAGGGCACCAGAGGGGCCGAACTGCGCTGTGTCAGGAGACAGGAGTTTGGCGGGAGAAGTCCATGCATTTCCCGGGTCCTCCGGGGAAGCGACCGGCGTCAAGGTTGTGCCGGCGCTTTTTGATGATGCAGATCCAGAAGATGTCATCAACCTCGTGGGTGAGTGTCCGCCTGTATTCTGTCGTGCTTTCTCAGCAGCAGATCTGAAATTTCTGTTCTTCCACGACGCCCTAGCCGATATGCTCGCGCGATTAGTGGAGCACAACGACCACCTACCCCTCCACCCCTCCTCGCTGACCCGCTTCCATTCGCGTGCGGCGCCGCAGATCTCCGTCCTTTCATACCTGCGCCGCATAGCCAAGTACACATCCCTGGAGAAGGTGTGCACGCTGATACTGCTCATCTACATTGATCGCGTCAGCAGCACGGTACAAGGTGCGACGTTCACCATCTGCACTCTCACCGTTCACCGATTCGTGTGCGCCGCCACGGTGTGCGCTAGCAAGGCGCTGTGCGACGCGTTCTCCACCAATGGACATTATGCCAAAGTGGGGGGTATCAGCTTGATCGAGCTGAACATGCTGGAGAAAGAGTTCCTCAACTTGATCGGGTGGCATCTTATCGTGGGTCTCTTCCTTGCCTCCCCTTCTCCTCTGCAGAGTGATGAGTTGCTGAAGATTTTATTTTCGTTTCTTCCTATCCTTTGAAGTGCACCGGACCTCTGCTACAGCAATACTATGCGTCGCTCGTACGCTCACATCCTGGGTATGCGCTGGCGAAAACACCAGCGGGCTCTGCGAGTGCAGATGCGAGAGTAGCAGCAGCTCTCGCGACTCATGCCTCGTTAGCGGCAGGGAAGCAGGCAACGGGACTGGCATCTGAGCCGTATTTAGCGCCATGCCCGCCGGTTGATGCGGGCGACATGCAGGGGAGGGAAGGCACGCAAGACCTGGAAATGGCGGACGAACCAGCCGCGCAGATGAGCCACAGCGGTTGCGGCGGCGGGGGCTCCGCAATGTCAGATATCGCAGACCCGACTCAGCAGGAAGGGGAAGGGCTGCGCGATAAAGGCTGACGCATGCACGTCCAAGTGTATGTTCCCGCAATGACATGAATGCATTGCCATTTTCCACACACTTTTGCTGTGCAACGACAAGTTGCCGACAGCTGGCGCTGATGATGTTGATGGTGTCAATACATTGCGAATTCGTACTGGTTACTGATTGGTCTTGCGGGATGAGGCCAAAAAGGGCCATTGCAGGCTCGTTCAAAAAACGTGAAAAGCGGGTCATGACTACACAAGTGATATCGCAAGCGCGTCTGGAATGTGTATGCGGAGCAAGGAAGCCTTGAATGAAGCAACAGAAATGGTGCGAGTGCCCAATACCCAAAAAAAATCGCCTGGCGCCTTCTCTCTTAAGCGACGCGGACATCCACCTCGCTGCCGTCCTTCTTCTCGTCGTCCAGCCCATCATCCTTGCTGTCAGTCTTCCACGTAGCGCTCTTGAGGTCCGACGGCCCAGCAGCGTTGGCGTCTGTGGTGTTCTGCACCGTAGTGGCAGCAGCAGCCGCTTCAAAGTTTGCGCCTTTCTTTTCGGGCCCAAAGGCGGCGGTGATAGCGAGGCCAGCGGCAATGATCGCTGTTGCGATCGCCATGACGGGGCCATAGGCTTGCACGCGGCGACCGCCGGGGCCTGAAGTGAAATTGTTCTCGGACAAGTAGTTAACTGCGAGTGAAGGGGAAGGAAAAAGAGCGTTCAGTACACGCGTTCGCTAGTCATGGTCGGCTCTCGCGGGAAACTTACTGAGCTGTGTGCTGGGTGCGCTGATCGCATTGCCAAGCTGGTACGTGAGGCCGACAAAAATGGCGCGGAAGGCAGGTGGCGAGATCTCACTCAGGTAGACGGGGACGACACCCTGAAGATCAAGAAAAGTTGCCCTGTCAATACCTGCTGAGGTATAAGCTGCAAGAGAGAATGAACTCACCCAGGCGCCTTGCACAAAGAATTGAATCATGAAGCCACCAGCCTCGAGGCCGCCTTCGGTAGTGGGCAGGACCCAAGGAGCGATCATTGCGCAGGTCATGATGCATGCCAAGACCATTGCCCTGCGTCGTCCGATCCACTGCGACATGTACCCAACGATCGTCCCGCCGACGCATGCGCCGGTCTTCATCAGGATTGAAGCGCGAGACGCGGCGGCGCTGTTCAGGCCCTTGCCGACGAGCATGAAGGTCGTGTATGAGTCCTGCGAGGAGTGGCTGAACCAGTTGAACCACGACATGATGACGATTGCTGCGAGTTGCCAAGTAGTGCCGAAGGCAGTCAGAAAATGCGGTCCTCTACATTCACGGATTCTCGCTGGCTCACCATAGAGGCACACTTTCCACTCCTTCTTGAGCATGACGACGAAGGATTTTCGGAAATTGGCTGTACCAGCTCCCTTGGTTTCCTTGCGCGCCTCGATGAACTGCTTGCTCTCCGGGAAAAAAGCGCGGAGCACACCAACGAAAAAGGACATGCCGGCGCCGACCCAAAAGCCGATTGGCCACGACTCGACCGAACCGCCGACACCGAGGTTGACGCAAGCTGCGAGGACGTAGCTGGTAGGCGCAAGCCAGAGGGCCCCGTCAGCAAAGTGGGGTATGCAATCCGGCGTGTTCTGAGCCTTTGGGAACTTACCCAAAACTGTAACCCTGCTGAAAGATGCCAGACATGAGTCCACGTGCCTCGGCAGGGATATTCTCGAGCGCCATGGCGCTTGCGCTTCCATATATACCTCCCATAGCCAAGCCGAATAGGGCACGAGCGGCGAGGAATTCGTTAAAGTTCCTGGCGTAAATAGAACCAATCTGCAGCGCGCCGAGGATCCACAAGTTGAGGACCTGCAGGCAGAAAGAACCGAGTGCGTTAGCTCAAAGCGGCGCGTGAAAGCAGCCTTTGGGGCGCGAGGTCTACACGCACTAGCGGCCACTTGCGTCCAAAGTAATCAGCGAAGACACCGAAGAGGGCGGCGCCGACGGAGCGCAGGAGAAGGGTGAGCGTAACCGTTTCTGTCATCTTGGTCTTGGAAACGTCAAAGTGATTGGCGAGCTTGGTGGTCTGGATGCTGAGCGTGTGGAAGTCAAATGCGTCGGCGGTCCAGGCTGCAAAACCGATCAGGTAGGCCCCCCAGCCTATCAGGCTCAGCGAGGCGAGCAGCCGGAACGGGTTGGCGGGCCGCGTCGGCGATTCCCATTCGACGCGTTCGACACCGTTTTCGTCGATCACCGTCGTCCGGATCTTCCACCGAAACAGGTCGCGGAGCGACTGCATCGGCTTGAGGGACATGGTGGGCCAGG